ACCACAAATCCAGGATCTCAACTCTTTATTCTCCAAGCCACACTAGCTTAAAAAGTGAAAATGTTTTGAGTGCAGCAATTACTATGTATATTAGTGAATATGGGGAAAGTCTCTGGAAACCATACTAAAAACCTGCAAGCTTCTGAGTAAGGAACACATTATCCCTTCAATATTACATGTTTGAACACTTTAAGGCACAGAAGCAATCCCTCTCAACAATACACACATTTTCCATTCTAAAGTTAACATAGGGAAGAATCCTCTGATTATGCTTTAAGCCACCTGGAAGTTCTGAAGCACAAGAAGAAGAATATTACACACAAACTGTAAAGGGAAATACCATGGTTGCTTCCACAACTGAAAATTCCTTCCATTTATAGAAATCACACTGTGTATAAAGCTAGTTCAGGGGTCCCTAATGTGCTGTCGGGCAAGTGTTTTAGAAAGTGGGCAGGGCCAGGTGGTGCTTTTGCTTAGCAGGGCACCTGACTGGCCACTAGAGCTCTGATTGGCTGGGCAGATTTTTAAAAAGTTATTTTGGTAGCAGCTGCTACCAAAGCACAAAGATCTTCACTGCCTGGCTACAGGAAAGCTATGTGCATGCAACAAAATATTTTTAAACATGTTTATTTTAAAAGAAATCCTGTTATACAGAGCTTCTACCTGGCATGTTGAGCTGTTATGTATGACCTCACTCATTTTGTGTCTAACTCCACCTCCTGTAGCAACCATTTTGTTATTGTATCCAGCACCCCATGTCAGAATCCCAAAGGTTCCCATAAGTTCACAAACACAACAGACCCCTCACATAGTTAGCTTTTAGAATCTGAGTTTAATGAAATGTATTTTAAAACATTTTTACTAAATTTCATTTTAAGTAAGAACATCTAGTGCAGTGATTCTTAATAGGCTATTATACTCCCCCTTCCCCCAGGGGAGTGAGCTACCATTCTTGGGAGGCATTCAGAACCTCAGGGGAACATGGGGGAATTTTAAGTAGCCCCTTTCTCTGCACTTGTAATGGCTTTTAATAGACAAGTGGAAAAGACTTGTTTTATACTGTCCTGAGGAGAAACTCCTAGACTCTTCCCCCCCTGCTTTAAAAAAAATAAAAAGGTACACTGTAAACTGGAGTTTACATCACGAGAGTCTCATCACAATTAAACCTACTATCCGTGTAAACTATTGTAACCATGAGGAAAGGCAGGATATAAATGTTTTAATAAAAATAATAATATAAATAGAGTGCTGCTATTTGTAGCTTGGGGTCATTTGCTGACACTGTAACATTTGTTTAAGGGCTATTGACCCAGGAGAATACCATATAGGTAAGGGACATAAATCAGCTGTGGACACACACTCCCCCCAACAATTAAACTTCATGAGAGCTACATTCTGAGGCACAGACCCCGGAGTAATCTGTGTTGCAATAAACCAATAATCCTCAACCAAACCCTTGACTCAGCATAATTAAAACGCATGTGGTGAATTCAGATTAAAAGGCATTGTTAAGAAAGCAACTGCAATCTAAAATATCCACGTTTTGAAAAAGTCTCATCCCTGAATATCATGGAACACCGAATCAATCTCTAAGAACACTTCCACCCATTTATCTGTTGACCACAGACTGTACTGAAGTGGACCAAGCCCTGCTTCAATTGGACCAGACTCCACTCCTCCCTCCCGTACAGATGCCATGTGCATCTGTTTGCAGACAAGGGTGCGTGTGAAACATTTCAGCTCCAAATTCATTTCATTCTTTTCTAAAATACAATGGACAACAAAGATGAGAGTCTCGTAAGAGGTGTACAAACCCTAAATAATTTGCTGCAAACATTACCAGATACTTCTGTGTCTCTCAGAACGACTACAGAAAGTAACGTGACTGCAATCACATCTTGGATTAAATTAACAGGAAAACACTGCACAGAGGAAGCCTGGAATATCCTTTCTTCCTCTATACCTCAGAAATGCAGCTCGACTTATCCCTCTGAGAACATTCGAGAATTAACTACGAAACAGGAAAAGTACCAAGATGGCAATGTGACTCACATTTGAAAGGCCACCCCTAGAATTTACCAGATCCTCCACATCCCTCAATCCAGGTCCACCACCACCACCCCACCCCGCCTACGTAATGAATCCGCTGTTTTCCTTCAGCCGCCTTCATCTCCATCTTGAGTCTCGCAATAATCGACAACCTGTGATTCAGAATTCCTAATGAAACACTCACTGTCGGCAAGGTTAACCTCCATCCCCCATCCCCCCCCCCTTTCAGATGTTTCTGTAAGGCACACTTCTCAGACTTCTCAAAGCGGTCTTGCCGAGTCGAACCGACAACCCGTGGTGCCTTCGTATACCACCGGGCCTCCTAGGAACAGGTCTGCCCCCATCCACGCACATGGCTTCGCGTGACGCTGCAGGCAAAATTTCTCCATATCAAGGCGGGAGGACCAGAAAGGGAAAGTTTACGTTTCTCTCTCTCTCCCCCCTCTCCAGCACATGGATGACGGTAGCCAACAAACAGGGTTGTCGTAAGAGTCACAACTGGAGCGTGTGCATGAAGTGCTTTGATACACTGAAGAGAGACACGTAAATGGTGCTGAACAGCATTGTCGCCCTCTCCGAGCACTGAAAAGGGCCCTTCCTCCCACGAGGGAACAGCAACTGGGCCCTTTCCCCTAGTCGCTTTTTTCTCGTCCCATCCAAAGGGCATACGGAGCAACGGGCCTACCCTCTCCTACCTCCTCGAGACTCCCAGAACATTCCACCCCCACCACCCACCCCGGCATTTTCCACAGCCCCCGGCAGACCGAACAGAGAATAGTCTGTGGCGGGCAGCAAAAGGGTGGGAGGGCGGCGGGGGGGGGGGGGGGTAGAGAAGCGGACTGGCCGGTACCTGTGCTGTCGGCTACGTTCCCCACAGAGGCCGCCATAGTTCCAGCTCTCAGGCGCCCCACTGACTCTCTCAGCCGTCAGGCTGCACCTCCTGAAATGGCGGCTGCAGTGAGAACACTGACACTGGGCGGGGTGCCGCCGGATCTTCTTTTCACTGACAAAGTACTCCCTGCGATGCAGAAGAATGACGTCCCGGTTGTAAGAACGCCGCCGCGGCGGTAGCACATAAAGTCCACTTCGTTTGCTTCGCCAGATATTCCTGCGTCACTATTTTTGCACTGGCTCTAACAAGAGCTGTTTCCGTATGAGGACACAATATTGGTTTTTCTAATGTTCTTCCGCTAAATTGGCTCTGCGACACACTAGCGCAGCACACATGCGCCTCAGGAGCCTCGTCTCCCTCCTCCTCCTCCTCCAAGGCTACATCCGGGGCGTCACCGTCGGGCGGCTTCGCGGAGGCCGATGGGAAGGGAAAGGGCGGGAATTCGACAATGGCAGGGCCCAAGGGAAGCCAACTCCCCTCGGTGAAATGTTCTACGGGACTACGAAGGAGGCGGCGAAATGTCTTCAGAAGCCTGACCGAGAGAAAACAAAACATGAAAGCAGCGCTCAGCATAGCGTTTGTTAGGCTCGGGAAGAGACTTAAAGGTGTGCGCCCCCGCCCCCGAGGAGCCATTACGTCCCGACTATGAATCTAGTTTCAAGTGGGCAGCCATGTTAGTCGGTAGTAGAACAAAATTCGAGTCCAGGAGCACCTTCAGCCAATATTTTCCATGCTATAAGCTTTCGTAAGTCAGCTCACTTCTTCAGATCCTTATCTGACAGATTGATCTTTCACTACTGAAGCTTATATTCTGGGAAATTTTATTCCTCTTTAACGTACTACTGGACACAAGTTTTGTACTACCAGAAATCTGCTCTAACAACTAGAGCATACACAGCCTACTGTTGCCCCTCTTGTGTATGAAAGGCATTCAAGGCAGCAAATCTAAACATATTTACTACACATATTTCCTCCTAAGTTTGCGTGCATACGGTTGCAGTGTACAGCCTGCAGTTTGAATAGTAGTGTGTGAAGAAACTCAAAGCAGATGTCTAGTGATAAGGGGCACCCAGGAAGGTTACTGCCTACTTGAGGGACCGTCTTTCCCCACATGTGCCCCAGAGAGCACTGAGGTCAGGAACACAGAATCGCCTGACTCTTCCTGGCCCGAGAGACTTCAAGTTGGCTGCTACCAGAGCCAGGGCCTTTTCAGTGGCGGCTCCACACTGGTGGAAAGCTCCCGGATAACATCAGGGCCCTGCGGGACCTTTTACAGTTCTGCAGGGCCTGCAAAACGGAGCTCTTCCACCAGGCCTTTGATTAGGAGCCGCCACTGATGAAAGCGCCACTGACGAATGCGCCGCCGGAATACAGCTCGGCCTGCACGAAACATTGGCTGGTTATTGCTGCTGTTTGTATTTGCACGCTGCCATCATCATTATTAGTAGTACTGTTTAGTTGCTTAAGCAGTTGTATTTATTCTCCATTGTATTTTAATGTATTTATTGTTTTAGTGTTTTTAATGTTGTTAGCCGCCTTGAGCCAGTTCTGTGGCAAGCCAGGATACAAATTGAAATAATAAATAAAATAAAATAGAGGGTCCTGGTTCTCTTGTAAAATAGACTGCCAAACCACACATCCTCCCTCTTGATTGGTAACAGCAGGCTGGATCCAAAAACCACATAATACTAAAATCAAACATGAAACAGGCTAAAACTTTCACCTGCTAGTTACATAGGAGGAAGGGCAGTGAGCAGCAAGCAAAAACAACCACACTGGCTTCGTAAAAAACAGGTTTATTCACATTTGGGATAAGTGTTTCAACATATGTAAACAAACACCTATAAGCTGAATCAGTCACAATTGGAAGTAAAAGGGCTTCGTAGGCAAGTTGTATTAGGATCAGCATACAAATCAGCCATTCAAGGCTCATTGTGGTTGCACCATTTTTAGCTATGCCAGAAATAACACATCACATGTACACAGATGTTGCATTTGTGAAATGA